TTTGCCGTTTTAGCTTGAATAACCTCTTTCCGAAAAGGTGATGGTCTTTGCATCAATGTTAGTTACCTCCTATTGTGGTCTGATAATGGTCTTCTAAATTACCCACTTGAAAACAACTAGAGAAAAACAAGTATTTTCATGTTTTTTTTTTGCATTATCTATTTTTCTCTGAGCACAAAAGTCAACACACAAGTGAAGAAGAGTTTGCCTCACATAAGTTGATTTTCCAACAAGCACCAAGCTCAAGCCAAGAAACTAAGTCTTGGAGACCACTTTCCGCTTCGCACCACTCCCTCTATGTTCTTGACGAGATCGTGTCCCCACCTTGGTTTGTAGAACCGGTTTCACAGGATTAAGGGATGCAATTGTGATGGTGGTGCCTACGTGTAGCAGACAACACTAGGTGGTCGTGTCTAGGTCTGGCTCTATAAGTTTCGACTCGCTTGGCCCTGTCCTTAGGGGTTCTTCCATCATTTTGTGTTGATTTTCTCCAGATTGACCACTGTGAAGTTCTGAGTATTCCTATGAGTGGCCATGCTAGAAAGCACCTTGGCAATAGTGAACTTGACTTGTCTCAAGGGCGGTTTGTGATACCTTCTTGAGGTAAGGGGGCACATCTCCTTCCTTCTTACTTGGCCTTTACCTAGTGGCTTACGCCAAGCTCTATGCCCTCTCAGAGAAGGGTAGCCCCTAGCACGCCTCCCCATTTATTGGAGGACATTTGCGTCTACATCCTGGCGTCGGATTAGGGTACATACGTGAATTTTAAGAAGCCCTTTGGATTGTAGTGTTGACTTCAACATATTTCTATCCACTCTATTCCATAGGAATCTCAACATGAGTTCGAACCTCATTTTCTTTTTTCTTTGCGAAGTCCGATGCATTTGAGCTCTATATCTACACTATCCAAAGTCGTATCTTATAAAAATTTGTGTTTCAAAATCCAATAGGAAGTCGCGTACGTGGCATCTCAATCTCAGGCCTCCTTTGGTTCATAGGGTAGAAAAATCGTAGGAATAGTAAAGTCATAGGAAATAAGATGACATGTATCTCAATCCTATGAGTAGGAATAGGGAGATGTCCTTTGATTCACATCATAGGATTTTTTTTTCATTGAGTCTAGGCTAATGTCTATTTTCCTATGAAATGTGGAGGATAGGAAGAATTCCTCCATAAAAATAGGATTATATTCCTACAAACCAAAGGGATCTAAAGAAAAAAATCCTATAGAAATCCTATCCTATGAAATTCCTACAAGATTCCTCTAAATCAAAGGAGGCCTCATGTTTTCATATTCCTACGTTTAAATTTCATGTAATCCAAAGAAGCACTAAATGATTTCAATCCATGGGAATTTTTTATGTGGACACCCTTTGGATCATACTCTCTTTGTTCCCCTATCTAGTGTGTATTATTATTTGGGGAATATTCTATAATGTAGTGCGCAGGTGGAGCGCGACGCAATTCTAGACGAAACGAACCATCGCTTGGCTGGAAGTGTGTGGTTGGCAAGTGTGCATCGCGGAGCACATGGCATGGACTGACTAATTGGAGGGTTATTATCGTCCAAGGTACACATGCCAGCACACTCATTGAGATTGCGGCCAAAGAAAAACTTTCGTGGAATCCATTCATGTGCTCCTTATTTCACAGAAATCTAAACATGAAGTTAAACCTCATTTTATTTTATTTTCTCTAAGAAGTCCAATGCACTTTTACTCTATCTCTCTCAACCATCTCTCTTCATTGCTCTAAACTTCATGTATATGCTTCAGGTTTACCATCCAAAGACACCAATTGCAGAAATCATGTGTTTGTAATTCTGTAGGATTTCATGTTATGTGATATATAAACCCTTCGTTTTTTCTTATTATAGTATTACCTTAGTTGTTTTCCGGCGCCCTGTCATCTAGTTTTATCCAGAATGTTCACACTCGGAGTCTACCCATGCGACTCGAAGGGCATGTACAATAGTTGCTTGTAGACACCATTCTCTTGGCCACCAAAGTACCTTGTTGCTCTTCGCTCATGTCGTTGCCGACCACTGCGGTGGTGGCTGCCCACGCGGAGGCGCGTATTCGGCAACTAGGAAGTGGCAAGGCAAAAGGGTCTATGAGATGATGATCTGACAATTTGAGTTGCCTGGATGTTCATGCCCGAGGGGGTCCCACTTCTCTTCATGCGTGCGAAGGCGCAATTCGGCGAACAACGTGATCAGCTACGTGCGGCGTGGAGGACACTCGGGGATGGCGTGTCCCCGAGTAGAACCCTAGCACATGTGGTTCGTGTCTCGTCGGTCTGGTGATATGCGTGAATATGTGACGGAGGCACGTTCTCGCACAATTTGACGTCAGTGTGGTTTACTCGAACAGAAGGATCTAATTACACGCATCGGGCGTTGGCTTGGTCACGTTGGTTGTGCGAGGCGACGCATCCGGTGGCGTCGGCTGCTAGGCAATGTTGGTGTGCATGACAACCATCTGCAAGATAGTGGTGCGGCAGTGGTCGAAAGCAACACGATGGCATCCCTTCCGACGACTTCTCCTTTGGCTGACTAGTTCTGTGTGAGCAGGATTATAGAGTGGTGGATAGTGACTGGCGGTAATCATTGCCGTTGTATTTTCTCCGACCTTCTGGCTTGATTAGGTAGCGTTGACGTCCATGCGGCGTTACCTTGTTGAAGGTATTGGTTCTAACATCTGTCTTGGTTCAATAACCCTTGGTTTGACTTTTGGTTTGACCAGCCAACATTAGCACGCGAGTGGCGGTTCCTTCTTGAAGGTGTTATCTGGAGTGTTGCACCATTTGTCTGCTAATATATCGTCGTAGGATTGGTGGTAAGATTTAGGTATGTTGTTGCGAGGCTTGTCCTATGTAGATGTCGTCATGTTTTTCACTTTTTTCCTTTCTAAGATGACTTGTTCGCCCTACTAATAATGAATAATATATGGTTGGGTGCATCACTCAAAGTAGAGACTGAGAGTATTCCCTCATTTTTTTAAATATTGTACAATAGTTGGTAGGACAACCTTATCTTAAGTCTGCCACCTAAGGGCTCATTCGGTTTGGAGAAAATCAAAACATAGGAATTATGAGTAGTATAGGAATTTGATAGGATGACACTTGCCATCCTAAGAAATTGACTTGCCTCGTTCCTACGCGTAAAATGAGCTTTAAGTGTATGTTCTCCAAAAACACAGGAAATGAGTAGTATTCCTACGAAATTCCTGTATACATTTCCTACAAACCGAATGCATATATAGGAAATTTTCCTCCGGAATCCTTATTCCTATGTTTCTCCTACGAAAATCCTCCAAACCGAATGAGGCCTAACTTAGAGAGGCAATTCAAATATGACGTACAATAGTTATCTCTTAGTCCTTTTTTTAATTGGGTTATCTCTTAGCCTTAATAATAAGATGCCTAAATATATGGTGAGAAATATTGTTACTAATAGGTTATCTCTTAATTAATAACAGGCAAACTTTTTTTTCTAGTTCTTCTTTCCTTCACCTCGGTATTTTATCCCATATGACACTCCTAAACATCTTTATACACGCTATCATAAGCAATTAGCCCAGATGGGTGAACCTTTTAGGGCCACTTTGATTCGTAGGATTTTGAAAATATAAGAATAGAAAAAGTGTAGGGTTGAAGTGGCATGCCCACTTGAATCCTATAGGATTAGTAATGACCGTTTGATACCATAGAAAAAACAAAGAAATTGTAAAAAGAAGTTAGAGTGGATGTTAGATTTCCTATAAAATGTAGTACAAAAGATTCCATACAAAAAATTCTTATGAAATACAATCCTATAAATCAAAGGACCAACATAGGGAAAAAAATCATAAGGATTTCAATCCTCTAGAGTCAAAGAAGCCCTTAATTATGGACCCCGACAAGTCCTGAATGTTCGGATTTGGTCCATGACAAATCAAACACTTTTTATGGCAACTTTAGTTGAGTGAGGATGACAAATTTAGTTGGTAAACATGATAATTTTGTCCCCAGTTTGGTTTTCACCAGAAAATTGTCATGCTTGCCAATTAAATTTGCCATAAAAAATGTTCGATTTTTCATGGGTAAAATCTGAACATTCAGGATTCATCATTTCCGTTAATTATTCAATTTTATAAGTGGGTAAAGGCATTCGTTTGAACAATTATTCAATTTTATAAGTAGGTAAAGGCATTCGTTTGAACAACCAGACTTGGAACTTTAAGAGCACTTTAAATTGATGGTTTGTAATTCACGTGGTTATGAAGGATTTTGGGTATAGTTTTTCTTGTGGCAGCCCAGGGCACGGTGGTACTTGTGATATTTCTACAGAAAAATTGTTTCTTTTATATCTAAAACATTAGAAAGAATTTTATTCATTGTTATATGTGGCATATGAATTTTCCCTATAAACAATGCAAAGTTTGACCAAATTTATTGAAAAAACTATCAACTAAAATTATACTTGATTATACTTTTGGTCAATGTAATGAAATTACCTGATTATACTTTTGATGTGATGCGATGCTCCGAGTTGTCTTTAACATCGTGTAAAGAAAATTGAAAGCCCTCAGGCTAAACAAACTTCCATTTTGAAATCTACTCCCTCCGTCCGGAAATACTCGTCGGATAAATAGATAAAAATAGATGTATTGAGAACTAAAATACATCTAGATACATCCATTCCTCCGACAAGTATTTTCGGTCGGAGGGAGTAGATAGAATGGTTAACGGCAAAGCAGCAACAACGAACAGACAGAATAACCAACTGTTTTGAAATCATCGATGCCCCTTTCGGAACATGGCAGTTTCCTCTGAAACTTGTGAAATGTTCATGTGAAACCACCAATCATGTGAGTCAACGTCAGTCAAGAGCTAGCAGTGCAAATCGTTACACATCTACATAGTCAGCACACCCATGGTAGCCCTTCTTTCATCAGGTAGTCGCGAATTCAGACAGCAATTCTGCAGAGATAAACACTACTCTGAAGGAGGAGGCAAATCTAAGCCCTGACGTGCTCTCGGATGAATTGCTCGACTGCTGAAACATTGCCGGTGAGACCAGCGCCTTCAGCAACTGTCACCTTGTTCTGGCATTGACTGAAGTTGAATGCCTCTCCAGGGACACCAAGCTCGACTTCATCAGTGATGTCAGCAGACGATATGGCATTCCTCGATTCCCGAAGCTTGTTCCTGCAAAACGAAAATAATCATCGTTGGGGCTTGTAGAATTTTAGAATCGCTTTAACCAAGCCTGTCCAAGTGGTTGGGGCATCCTCCCTTATTAGATGATTTAAGTTTATGAGTTTATGGAATCGCCTCAGTTATTTCAAGATCAGTTCGTTAAGAACAGAACGTACATATGTAAACGTTTCTTTCTAGCATAATTGGAAAAAAAAATAGGATACATCAAGATGCAGTAAATAAAGGCAAAATCACGAGCTCACATAATTTACTGTAGATTCCAGCCCAAGTTAATGCATTATTATTCTAAGTTTCTAACTATGCAAATATGTTATGTGAAAAATGGAACATACACTTCTTTTTCCAGCTGCTTCTTGATGAACTCCTTCGAGTGAGCGGTAACTTTGTCTGTTTTATTACAGAATATAAGAACAGGAACCCTTTTCTTCACCACAGTAGCCTTCGTCAAAATGTCATATAAGTACCTGTTATATGAGATAACCGTAAGAATATTATCAAGTTACTAACTGCACCAGATCATACTATTTTTACATGTTTGAACATGAACTAAGCTCATAAATTTTGATCCATCATGTGATGGGGTCAACAGGAGTAGAAACCATAAATTTTCCTGAGAACGGATATAAAGTCAGCAAAATTACTCTGCAGCAGCTTGCATGCTAGACAAGAAATCCTGAGCATCAACAACAAAAACAACTCCAGCTGCCCGAGGCAGGAATTCATCCAGCTTGGGTTTCAGCCTTGCATGACCAGGAACATCAACAACATGGACAGGTTTTACTTTGCCTTTCTGCAGAGTGAACAAAAGCAAAGTCAAGTAACTAATATTGCAGTCAGAAAATGAATATTTCTGTATAAAGAATGGTAGCCTTTGATTTATATTTATATCAAGATGTATCAAAAGATTCATCTCCAAGAAAACAGCCTAACCCTTTCAAGCTCTGAATGTAGCACAAACGTATCATTGTTAGGATCCATCGATGTCACAGTTCCTTGATGAGATGATCCATCGCGAAGCTAACAGGAAGAAAAAGGCCAAATTAGCACCCAAAAAAAAGATGGTATAGAACACCGTTAAATTGCTTCAAGGGATAAGTAAAAAACAAATTGAGAAAAGTAAATAAAATAAAATGTCTCGGTTAATCAAAATATTTCCATGCAGGCATACAATAAAAAAAAGATTTCAGACAGTAAAATCAAGGCAACTAAGCAAGAGAAACAACAGGCAAGTCATAAGACAATGGCAATCAGAGTAGACGTTAAGCTAAGATAGTCATTTTCTAGTCTGCATGAAATGAAGCATAAACGAGGGCAGATTGCAAACAAATATCATAGCCTAACCCCTAACTAAAACTTGGCAATGAAGGGAGACAGAAAACTGGCAATCAAATTTGCAAACCTAGATATGCAAGGTCGTTACTCTGGCCACATTCTATGGTTTTGAGTCAATCCACTAGAATGTGAGTAACTGAAATACCCAAGGGGGAGAGGGGCTTGCCATAGTAGATAATTACCTGGTAGAAAAGAATAGTTTTACCACTTCCACTTAGCCCAGATAGCACAATGGTGTTTGATTTCGATGATTTCAGACAAGAAGCTGTTAAGAAAATCAGATATACACTGGTCATCAATTGCTGCACATGTAACAACAGTGAAATTATAATCACAAAAGCAGAAATATTACTAAGTACCTCCACAATACAACAATGTATTTCAAATCTTGAGATGCACCATGATATAAACTAAGGTAATAAGTTCAAATGTTGCACTCTGATAATATATTATCTCTTAGATTAACACCACATATTATCATGTTATTATCACTCTGCCAGAAGCATGGATGTTTAAGAACTCATAATTTCCAACATCTTGCAGTATTAAGATTTTACAGCATGCACTTGTGCAAACTTGCTATACCTTATAGCCCACTGCAAAGTATAAAGTGTAAATCAGCTGACCATTTCAATGTCTCTTCTTCCGTTCTCAGTTAACAGTACAAAAAAGAAGCAAGGTTGTGTACAGATCCAGCATCACAGCATGTACAGACAGGATGCTACATCCATACTGTAGATTATGTTTTTATCCAGTAATTAAACAGGAAACTGCAAACTGCTGCCCCATTCGAGCTAAATTACACAAACTATACACCAGCTCTCAGTTTGATCCAAGGCATGGATTCAATTACGACTTAATCATATTTGAACGCAGTGAGATTACACTACAGCTAACGACACAGCTGCTCATCCACAGCTAGTTTGCATCAGTCAAAAACAAGAGCTACACATGAAGCGCGCAAATTCAAACAAGCGCGCAAAGCGGACCTGCTCCCAGGACAGCTCTTAAGTTGCCAAATTACCACATCTATCTGCCTAGTTTTTCAGGGACCGCATTCTGCACATGCTATTTGACTACTGCGCGAACAGTCGGTAGCGAGGACACACTTCGAGAGGAAGCTTAGGCTCGCGAAATCACCTGCGAGGAGCACCAGAATTGTGACGGCAATCACGGTGACGGCGACGTAAATCTGCTCCGGGGGCTGCTGGCGGATCCAGCGCTCGGCCTGGCCCGCCCACGCCTCGGCCTGGCGAACCCACTCATCCATCGCCGTGAGCGCCGCGCGGTGGGCGAGGGGAGCGAGCGGCGGTGGCGCCGGGGGCTCTAGCCTCTCGGAGCGGCGGGACGCGGAGAATCCCGGGAGGACAGTGGGACAGCGGGGGAGATGGAGGAGGCGAAGAGGGGGGGACTCGTCTGGAAGCAGATCACGATGCGATGCGTGGTCACGAAGGACGACGCACGGGATTCTTGTTGGGTCGTCACGTGGAGGACGGCTCGGAAAAAGCAGGCCCAATGGGAGAAGTCGCCCGGCCCATAATTGATAGGCCTCGTTTTTGGTAAACCCAGGATCCGATCACCTGATTTTTTTTTCCTAAAAAAACCTGGTTTTTTTACATGCATGATCGATTTGATGCCAAATTTGTCCTCACCGTATCTGCCACAATTTTATCATGCCAAAATTTGACCCCCAGACATCATTTCAAATAATTTTGCTCCAGGCATTGGCAAAAAAAGATTGAGAAAATCAACGATCCCTGCGAAAAAAGAAATCAACAATGGGAGGGAATCTGGCCCCAAAATGCCATCCAGGTTCACTCTGATTGCAAAACTTGCTAAGGAATTTGGATTGACGTTGGGGCCAAAATGCTTGAAGCAGTTTCACACCATGGCATTGGGCACATCAAAATTTTGCTGTGGCAGCTTCTGAGGGACGGGAGGCCTTCGGGTGTGAAAGTTCAGAAGGGACACATATGAGGAGATGTCTTGTTTCCGTTTCTGGACTGACGAAGACGCAAATCATTTTTTTCTTCAAAATGCATTCTGACACAATTCCTTTGGGGATATGTTCGTGACGTTACTTGGTGCAGCGGGCACCTGTTTCTTTCACATCATTCCACATCCTAAGTGTGAGGCTAATGAGACTCTCACGCAAAGTGCCCTGGTCGATTTTCGCGGCTTTATCATAGGCTCTATGGCATATTAAAAATAAAGCTCTTATTGAAGGCATCTTTATTAAACACCTAGCTGATGCATTGTACGAAATGACTATATTCTTATAGCTGTGAAAATCACTAAGCAAAATCACGGAAGCATTTGCTATTGAGACGCTATGTGGGAACATGCAAAGGCTCTCAGGAGGAAAGCAACCATCATGGAGGGTGATCAAGCTTAGATGACCGTCGTGTATCTTTAGTCTAGTATTGTATCGTCTTTCGTTGGCCTGTGCGCCATGGCGCTTTGGGTCTGTATCAAACCTTTCGTTTGTTGTGTTCAAGGGCGGACATAGAGAGAAAATGACCAGGTGTCCTAGCATACGATCACTTCTATTTTTCATCTAAAAGATGGGATGTCACATACTATATTTTGCATGAAACATACAAAGAAAACATCTTGCACCCGGTGTCCTATGTGTCCTGGTAGCTCAACTTGGGTACACCCCTGGTTGTGTTATCGAACCTTGTTGTAACACTTTAAGCGCTTCAGTTCGATAAAGCCGGGCAAACGACTTATTTCAAAAAAAAAAGTTGCACACCATGGCCGTTTGGATGGCAGGAAGCTCGTCTGCTGTCTTGGTCCAGTCATTCTCAAGAGCAGTCTTTCTTTTCTTTTTTGAAACGGAATTCTCGAGAGCAGTGAACATACATAGTCTCCAGTTGCTTATACTACTATCATTCATGAAGAAGAAAACTCATGACACCGAGTCGCAGTGGAAGGATACTGCTGTAGAAGAATGACAGCATGGACAATGGATCGCATAGAATATCACAAGAGTAATTCCAACCAGCAACCACTGTCATGGACACCGAAGCTCCATGCCTGCGTGCCAACCAAATCCTGCTCAGGAAGCTGGAGACCATCACTGGTAGAAAAAGGGCCTATAGTCCCGGTTCGTAAGGGCCTTTAGTCCCGGTTCCTGAACCGGAACTAAAGTGTCGGTACTAATGTCCTGTACCTTTAGTCCCGGTTCAATCCAGAACCGGGACTGATGGGCCTCCACATGGACAGTGCGCAGAGCCCAGGCAGGAGACCCTTTGGTCCCGGTTGGTGGCACCAACCGGGACCAATAGGCATCCACGCGTCAGCATTTCTGTGGCTGGGGTTTTTGTTTTTTTTTAAAGGGGGGGTTTGGGGGTTTTGGGGGGTTAATTTAGGTGTTTCATATATTGTGTTAGCTAGCTATAATTAATAGAGAGAAGTGTCCTCTCTTACGTCCGTGCTTGGTCGACGCTACGTACTATACATACGTATAGAGAGGACTAGACACGCTAGTTAGCTAGTAAGCAAACAAAGGAAATAGAAGATCGTCATGAACATATATGCATACAGAGAGAAGTGATATCGACCACCTCTCCTTCTCCGAGAGATTGGTCGAACAACAAGTTCTCGTATATCTATCCGACACTACCGGCTACATATATACAATAATTATCTCTTACAAATATAATCATACGGACTCATGGTCCACATAGTATTCTCCGTCTTCAGCGATCACTTGGTCAAGAAAGAATGCCGCCAATTCCTCTTGAATTGCTCGCATGCGAGCTGGTGCTAGGAGTTCATTGATGGGGTTATGTACCTAGGGTAGGGTCATGGACCTGATCTAAATACCTTACCCAAGGACACCCTTAGAAGAGGTCGCCTTCCAGTCGACCAACGAGGGACACACTCGACTGACTTGAAGGACTCGACCACGAAGACTCACTCGACCACCAGAAGGTCAAGAGGCACTCTGCACTGCAACGGCCTGTAATCAAGTAGACTTTATGATAGTAAAGGCACTTTATGTGGGGCGTTACCAGTAATGCCCCAGACTTAACTCACCTTAAACCCTCTCCTACGTGGGCTGGCTGGGGTCCTGGCGCAATATAAGCCACCCCCCTCCACAGGCAGAAGGGTTCGGCACCTTGTAACTCATATACTCATAATCCACTCGACCGCCTCCGGGCTCCGAGACGTAGGGCTGTTACTTCCTCCGAGAAGGGCCTGAACTCGTACATCCTTTGTGCTTACAACCTCTCCATAGCTAGGACCTTGCCTCTCCATACCTACCCCCCACTCTACTGTCAGGCTTAGAACCACGACAGTTGACGCCCACCGTGGGGCCGGTGTTTTAGCGATTTTGTGGAGAAGTTGCGATTCTTCCGAGTACTTTCATCATGGTGTCTGCTGGAGTTTTGGTCGAGGGTCAAGAGATCCGTCTCGGCACTCTCGCCTTCATCGCCGACGACTCCGCATGGCTCCAGGAGGCTCCACTTGACGTGGATGCGCTCCCCGTCCGCGGTGCGACGCATTTTCGCGCATGTGTCCGTGGCGTTCTGCTGCGGCAACCGTCGACCCAGTATCGGTCGGCTCCTTTATCGTCCACCCTCCCGGTCTCCCGCCAGCGCAAGCGCTCAGGCCGGTCGAGGCTTCAGCGATGGGTGAGGCACGCGGTGGCTCGCCAATCGGCCACCACCCAAGTTGCGGCAATCGAGCCCGACGAACCTCTCTACGGCTTGTTCGATCAGTCGACTGGCTCTGTAGAGACTGCATCCGAGTGCGGTAGCAGTGATCCAGCAGCGGAAATCTTGATGGTCGACGGGCCCCACAGTCCCCCTGGCTTCGCTCGTGGTGGTGGAGCAGGTGACGGCGGCGACCCTACACGAGGCTACGAAGAGTACCAGCCCGAGCCACTCGACTCTCTGCAAAGAGAGGAACTTCGCCGCAGGAACGAGGACCCCCTGCGTATTCCCATCGCAGGAGAAACCCCCGAGGCTCGTGCCTTGGAGGAGGCGCGCCTGGCCAATTTGGCCGAGCGCACTCGACTGGAGAACCTTCAGCGAGCACTCGACGAGCGCGCACGGCGACGAGTTCCCGACACCAGTCGACGTCAACTCTTCCCGCCGACTCAGGTATATCGAACCCCAATTCAGAATTTAGCAGCTGCGACCCGTATAGCAGAGTCCATCCAGCCTTCGCAGTCGGAAGCTGGCAGAGGTTTGCTGCAGATCAGGGATCTGCTCCGGGCAGCAGGAGATCAGAATTCAGCTGTGTCTCAGTCGCGCAACAGAATTCACAGTCGATCCGTCACTGTGAATACGGTTCAGTCGGCTCACAGCCCCAGATCGCCTCCGCGGCGTGAAGGGCGCGAGAATCGGCGAGATCAATATGGCGACAGACTCGACCGGGATGATAGGCGTCGAGTGCCCTATTCCCCTCCGAGGGGTGGGTCTTACGCTCCTCGGCAGACAGATGATAGGCGTCAGTACAGTACAGGGCGTAGGGTTCCAGTCGACCCCAGAGAACCAGGCTTCGACGCGCGATCCATTATCGTGCAAGGGTTGGTCGACCGGAACAGAGCCCATCGAGGTGGACTCGACAGAGATGTACCCACAAGCAGTCGAGTGCATGTTTCTGGTCCTGAATGTTTCAGCAGAGCTATCAGAGCCGCAGTTATCCCTCCCAATTTCAGGTTGGCATCAGGAGTCAGCAAGTTCACTGGTGAGTCAAAGCCTGAAACTTGGCTTGAAGACTACCGAGTGGCAGTTCAGATTGGTGGTGGGAACGACGAGGTGTCCATGAAGCATTTGCCCCTCATGTTGGAAGGTTCTGCCAGGGCATGGTTGACTCAATTACCTCCTAGCAGCATTTACACTTGGGAAGATCTGTCCCGAGTGTTCGTCAGGACGTTTGAAGGAACTTGCAAGCGACCAGCTGGATTGACAGAGTTGCAAGTCTGCGTGCAGAAAACTAATGAGACTCTCAGAGAGTATATTCAGAGGTGGATCACTTTGCACCACACTGTGGAGAATGTGTCTGATCATCAGGCAGTCTGCGCCTTCAAAGATGGTGTCAAGAACAGAGAACTGAGTTTGAAGTTTGGTCGAACCGGTGACATGACCTTGAGTCGGATGATGGAGATTGCTACCAAGTACGCCAACGGCGAAGAAGAAGACCGACTCCGAAGCGGCAAGCACAAGCCAAGTCAGTCGGAAAAAGGAAACACCAGTCGGAAACAGAAGCGGAAGGCCGAACCGGCAGCTCCTGGAGAGGCTCTGGCCGTGACTC